TGATTTAAAGTTGATTGAAAAAACTTCGATAAGTAGGAATGATGAGATGGGGTTGATATAATCAATTTGGGTTCTTCTTGCGTTTAGAGAATTTGCCAATAATACTTCAACGCGGACCAAAACAAACGCAATGAACACCAGACTAAAGTATCAAATGCTGAATATCTCAAAGCGGTTAGAATTTTTTTAAAAGATAGCCATTTGTTGAGATCCGACCACAATAATTAAAAAGACCAAAAAAATAAATTTTTCTTCAAACTGTGTGCGTTGGGTGCTGAAAACGTCTAAACGTCAGCTCAAAGCTTGGGCATGCTTGATAGTACACAAAACTTAGGCATATTTGACAACAGTTTATTTCAAGAAACAAATAGAATGGAAAAAAAATAAAAAGTAAAAAATTTTCATACATTGTTCTGCTGCTTTTTTTTTTGATAAAGATTTTTGTAACACTTAGTTTTCACGTAAAATTAAAGCTTTTTACTGTATCATAAGCCTAATTGCTTGCCTTATTCGCTCGAAATATGCCTAAAATATCAGTTCTTTTAGGAAATTTTAAAATCATCACGACTGAGAGGACTTCAATATCATATATTACTTGATAATTGAAGTATTTGATTTTGGTGGAAAAAAATTCAGTAAAAACACACCCATACTTGTTTTTACTCCTCATTTTCAATGGCTGGAGTAATGATAATAATCAAACCTATATAGACAGATGATTTAAACTAAAGTAGCGTAATTTTTCTAAAAACAATTTTAAAAAATGTTTTTTTTGTAGCTACCATGCAAAATCCTTCATAACTTTTTGAAATGATGAACAAAACCATGCATCTGTGAACCATGTTTCTGATCAGCGCTTTTGTTTTATAAACGGTTTTTTTTTAGTCTGGGGAAACAAAAACGCAACCTTTGAAAAAATTTAGCAAAACAACTTTAATACAAATTCGCCGGCAGAACAATTGATTGACTCACCAAGACATAGTCAGCTATTTTGATGACATGAGCCATTTTCAAAAACTTGAAGGTGAAGAAACCATGATTTTGATTTAAAAAATAAACAAAAATTATACAAATTTGATTTTTTGTTGAAAACTGCTTCAAACCTTAATGGCTAATTTTCAATTAGATTTGCTCAGTTTTTCTAATTTTTCTGAGGGAGAAACCTAGTTTCAAAAATTCAAAAAGGGCGAAATGGCAAACACATACATCAGTTATATTCATAAAAAAATTTTTCATAATATTCATAGTAATATCAGAAAGCCCTCAATTTATAGTCGTACAAACGAAACACCAAAAAAGTACCCATAAAAGTAATATGTGACTAGAAGAGTAACAAAAATAATCACATTGAAAACTCAGTAATATAAAGAAATCTTACAGTTTCCATACTGTTCATTCTGAAGAAAACAATATCTGCTATCTTACCATTCATTGCTGCTTGTTTTTCTGTTTTGTTAGTGTGTACGGTCATTTAAGCATCCACTAATTAAATAAACAAAAACAAAAACAAAGCATGGTGTCGTTTGGCTGGTATTGAAATGGTAATAGAATTAGGGTAACTGAATAGCTTTAGGTTACATTAAATTATCATCAGCAGAGCCTAAATTGAAACTAATCAAATGGCAGAGAACGAATCTTCTTTTTTGGTTTCCTGTTGAGTTTCTATTTTCTCCCTCGACTCGCTTTTTGAGTCGCAGAACCCTCCTCCTGTTCTGTTTATTTGTTTGTTTTTGTTTGTTTTTTATTCACTCATCATAATCACTCCCTCCCATCATTTCCCTTTTCTTCCCTCCCTCTTTAATAGGCTCCCGTTTCTAATTCTCTTTTTACAGTGGCAGTCTTTGTTTTAGTCACCTACTGCGGCTGTTTTTCAATTGGCAGTATTGTTTATAGCCTCTATAATTTGTAGATGCTTTTTGATGAATTGTCAACAACAAAACAGACATGGCAAGAGTGGAAATTTGAGAACAAAGAATCAAAATTAGCTCAATGTTTGTTTCCTATTCGAGTTTTTCTTAACATGAAACCCAATATTGAAATGTTCTAAAGGTTGAAGCGTGATCAGATTTTGTGTCTCTTTTTTATTCTTTGAGAGTCTTTTGCTTAAGTAAAATTATCATTCTCTACCGCTTACTCTCAAGACTAACTGCTTCTTAAAAATTTCCTATTTTCTGGCGCAAAACAAATTTTTAATAGAATTTTCAACACATTTTGGCAAAACTTTTATTGAAGACCATATCTAAATTTATTTTGAGAAATTTCCGCGAAACTTGAATGTCACAGTGTGATGAGAAAATAGATAGATAGAAACTTAGTAAATTATACATAATCGCTATCATTTTTCCTCAAAAAATGAATAACAGAAATAAACGGGAGAAAATTAAAAACAAAAACTATCTAATTTTTTTTCTATTTTCTATTTTTTGCACAATACATTTTTTGTAATAACAAATTATATTAACCCCTTTCTCAAAAATCTCGATCGCTCTACTCGTTCGAAACTACACTAAAATTTAAAAATATACCGATTTTTTTTTAAAACAGACAATTTTCTGAATTTGATTGAATTCCGACTAAAAGAGGTCTTTTGATTGAATTCCGACTAAAAGAGGTCTTTTGATTGAATTCCGACTAAAAAAGGTCTTAGAAGGATATATCACTCAACCCAATCCGATGATTATTTGTGGTACCTGATTTTGCGAGGAAAAAAGAAGAAAACTAAAACAACCGAATACAGACTTCCTCCTCAGTTGAATGGTCGGAACAATTACTTTAAAAAACGAGACTGCTCGTATATTAGGGCAAAACCCTGGATGTTCCGACTGTCCATTAGTTCATATTGAACTATTTTGGTTAAAGAAAATATTGAAAACCTGTAAATTTTGGACACTATCAAGATTGAGTGGTACGAAATTAATACGACCAATTAGCTATCCTGAATTCAATTTGGAACAATTTTAGAGTGCGGGATAATTTACCGCGCGTAAAATGATTCGCGTTACGCTCTCAGCATTAGAGGTAAACTCTTCAAAGGGCGCATAATTTAGTCCAGAAAATGGCCAATTTGGCAATTTTCAAAACCCCAGTTCTTTCCAAAAAACAATTGGAGCTGGAATATCTTTTTAAATTTGAATTCAAGAAGTCAATGGTGTATAAAACATTTTCGTTGAAAACTATTGGTTTGACGGGGAAAACTGACTGAATAAAATAAACCACACCAAGCATAAAGATTCCATTTTCTTCGAAAGTCGGAACAATAAAAGGATCATGGCGTGTCAGCCCTTTACAGTTAAAAATTTTACGAAGAGTTTTAAATCGAACACAATACAATTATACTTTTTTCCAGAGACTCAATATTTCTTGCTAAATACAAAAACTGTGAACTTTATCTTATTTTGATATGTCATGTTTGGGTTGTCATGCCAATCTGATAGGACTTAGATTCTTTTCTTAAATTCGAATTCAAATCAAGTGGCGGAAAATCATTCTTATAAAAAAAATTGAAGCCATACGGCAGTATAAAACTTCTCCAGAAAGTTTATTGCGCATTTCCACTGATGTACTAATTTATACAAAATACTTTCGGAGACAAATTCGAGCGTGAACAGTACATTGGAGCAGGGGCGGATCTAGGATTTTCTCCAGGGGGGGGGGGGGCGGATTTTCAAAAAATTTTGAAAATTTATCGACTTTTTTAGGTCGATCAAATTGATTTTTTGAGCTCTCCCAAAGCACTGTTTTGTCCCTATTTTGGCCACATTTTTTGCGCCACAGGCAAAATTTGGAAAATTTTAAGGTTGGTTGGCCAAAACTGGATTTCTTAAAAGTACCAAAGGAGGGACCCTTTGGGTCGGCAGGGGGTCGAATCCCTAAGGGGAACGTCCGCCCCTCCCCCCCCCCCCGCCCCCTTACACTGAATCCACCCCTGCACTGGAGCATCAGCGGATTAAAGGGGGGGGGAAGCTCCCTTCCTCGGTGATTCGACCCCCTGCCTACCCAAAGGGTCCCCATGTACTATTTTGAGATATCCATTTTTGACTGGCTGACCCTAAGTTTTTCGGCGTCAAAATATACTAATTTTGAGGGGGGAGCGCGCGCCGACAAAACGCGATTTTTTGGTCAAAATTTTCCGAAAAGTTCCTACAAACGCCTTTTTAAGCCTTTTTTTCAACATTTTGCCTGTGGCGCAGAAACTGAGGTAAAATGGGGTTTTTATAGTAATTTCGGGGAGCTACAAAATCGGTTAGGTACACCTAAAATAAAGGTCGACAATATTTCGATTTTTTTTTGAAAATCGCCCTCCGCGTCCGCCTCGAGAAAATCTTAGATCCGCCCTTACATTGGAGCGTAAATTATCTTGCAAAAAGAACAGAAACTAAATGCGAAAGCACATAAACAATCCAATTGGGCAATTTTTTGGAACTTCTAACCACTAGAAAACCACATATGCTACCTATTTTTAAATTTGACCTTCAGAGGATATCTAGCTTCCTTCAAAAATTATCTATTTTTGGATTTGACCTTAAGCTGTCGAGAAGCCTACGATGTTTTGCTTCATTGAAAAATGTCCTTCACAAACTACTGTTTCGATCACCAAAAAACATCTGAATAACACATGAAACACCGCAGTAGGTTATCATAACTGTCTTCGAAACTTGAAACCGAAAGCCTGATATGGCCTAAGGGATTTTTTTCACAGCATCCAATTACGTTCTTTTCTTTCCGGAACGGTGTCGATTACAAAGTGCTGTTTTAAGACACCATTTTTTTCTGGAAGACAAAAAGTGCATCGAAAAATCTGAGCCATCCTATCAAAAACTCTGCTGGGTTCTGTCAATACGGGTTACAAATAATGTTTCTTTATGTATTGCTACATGGATACTGTAACAATAAACTAGACAACTCAAAGACTCGTAGATTTATCTGAAACTCATTTTTTCTTAAAATTTATCAAACATCAATAAAAAGTGGAAAGACTTACCAATCATCTGTTCTTTTCAGAAGCGCCAAAGTCTCAATCGGTTAATTCAAGCAGTGAAAAGAAGAATAACTTCTTGTGCGAGACAAAAGAAGGGGAAATTTATATAGCTTACTTTATTGTCGTTTTCGTCGAAACTGTTTACCCTTTCTAGCTACGAAACGCAAACATAAATATTTGTAAAGCAATGAACAAAATAAATAACTTCTCGGCGAAAAGCTTGGAAAATAAGCTGCCAAACAAATAGAGTTTACTGTTATCAACTGAATGTTGAGTTCAAATTTTCGAAGGTAGAGAGCTTCAAGACCTTAACGGCATAAGGAGCAAAAATAAGCAAAAATGTTTGTCGAAAACAACCCAAAACAAGTCGAGTTCTCAAAAATGGGTCTCGAAAAGGATTTGACAGAAAATAAAACAGAGTTATTTATGAATTGTAAGAGCCCAGTTATTTGGTTGTTTTGCTCGATCTGGTATTGATAACTAACGCGGGTTGTCGACGGGTGACGTTAGGTTAAAAACTAAACAAACTTTGGGTAAATAAAAGGGTTGTGGGGATTTTGGGTAGACAAAACATAGCCAGCTAGGTGAGGAGATAAATCTAATCCAGACAACGGGAGTTACAAAATAACTTCTTGGCTTGGGTGGGGAGACGGGGGTGCAAAATTACTACAAATTAGTAATTAGCTCAGGCGTCAGAATTGAAAAAATCAGACAATTTGTTTTTGAAAATTGCTGATAAATAAATTCAACCATCAAAGATTCCCTCTTTGCGTTGATTTTTTTTGCTATCCGTAAAGTGCTTTATCATAAAGTTTTGACTGACCGAAAAAAGCTTTGAGCAAAAATCGCGAGAAAAAAACGAAGGAAAATGATATTTTGAAAAATGTTTGCAAGTGACTTATTGGTATCTCAAATCAAAAATCTTGGTTTTTCGAAAAATGATTTAAAAAGATCGGTTTCCTAGATAGTCTGCTTACTGATTAAGACTGTTCTGGTTTTGTGAACCGGGTTAAATAAGCAAAGTTAGGGGTAAGAAGGGTTAAGCCTTGTTTACGAGTTGGGGTAAATATAGGCACTGTTTATCAAACTGGAAAGCAATTACCTTCAATAACAATAAAGTCAACAACAACAAAGCTTCTGGTAGGAGTTCGGCAGCGGGTTCCAATCCAGCGATGATCCGGCCAGGGTGAAATATCACATTAGATCCCGTTGTCTACAATCTACAGCGAATAACTTCCGCAAACTGGGAGATTAAATGCTGTTTGTTAATGAAAACAGGGCGCAAAACTAGCTGCAGATATTGTTTCTAGTTTGTAAAAGTCATTTGAACGCCGGCATGTCTTTTAATTTAAACAACGCAGGGTTGTTTATTATTTCAAAATGCTTGTTTTGATAAAAACTATTTCAAAATCCAAAACAACCGGACTTTTTTTACTCTTCTTGCTAATAGTAATGAACTTCTTGTGCCGTTTGAAAGTTGCCAAGCGTCCAAAGGCAAAATTAATAACATGGATTAATCAAAAATTTCGTTAAGTTATCGGGCTTTTGTTATGATTGAAAAAGGTTTGAACAAATTGATTGTGAGTTTTGAAATTGAAACAATCAATTTTGATTTGACATTTTGGTTTGCTCGAAACTGTTTGACATATCGAGGAGCGAAAATTGCATAATGAAATATTATTGGTGTTTTTGTCTCCTATCAACAATTATAACCAAGTTTATATCCATTATTACTGCGACATGAAATGAATCGTCAATATGGCATTATTTGACAAGAAGCAACATTGACATCATTGTAGTTCCTGGACATCAAAAACAACTAAGTAAACAAGGGAGTTGATTGTCATTCTTCGTCATTTTATAAACAAATTAGCACTTTGCTGACAATAGAGGCTGGGAACTTCCTATAAATGAATTAAGCCAATGTAAAGAAAGTTAGTATCAGATTCATTCGGTATTAGATTCCGAGGGAAAAATTTTGATGAACTAAATTCTATGAAGTCACTGTAAATAACTAAAATCTGAAAATAACTTTCGAGAAAAAAATCAACAAATAGTGTACGGCAGTTTTGAGGAAGCCCATAAACGTTTTGTTTTCTCTACTATGATTTAATGCTGCCAATTAGGATCAAAACGTGTCAAAGCTTCCATGAAAATTTATTAAACCAACTATTTATTATATTTCAGTATTCAAAAACTTTATAAACTTGCTGACGTAGTAAAATGAGTTAAATTCTTGGCTTCAGAAAATCAGATGATTCTAAATAAGTTTTAACCCAGTCGACTAAAATTGTTTTAAAAAATCTCCAAGGAAGTTTTTTCTAGTTGCGAAGAGTTCGAGCTGCTTACATTTTATAAAGGCTCTATCGGAATTTTCAGTTTTACTTTTGGGAAGATTTGGTCAAATGAGCCAGCCAAAATCTATTTAAAGTCGTCAATTGCCAGCCAGAAAGTTGACTTGCTTTACTAGTTAAGCAAATGGCAAGATTTAATCGAAAACAAAAAAATCTTGGGAAGTTTTTGAACAAATTGGCAGCCATGAATTTTTGATAGGCACACAAAACACTCAACATTTTTTTTTTGGAAATTTCAGTTTTCTCAAAATTGTTGTGCATTTCTTGCTGTTGATTCGTTCTCAAAGTTGTTTTATTAAATTCATCGATCCCGTAAATAAATAAAGTATAAGAAAATTTTCATCGTTTTGTGTTTCATTCGGGAAGAAATGATATTTCTCTTCGGAGAATTAAATTCAAAAAAAGAAGCAAAAATCATTTTTGATACTGAACAAGCCTGCTGGTGTTAAGTTTGCTGGTATTAAATATTCTCACGGTTCTGACTGTCTTCCTGTCTTCTAACTTCTCTTGAACAGTCTTTGTCAAAAACATTTTAATTATTACAAATTTAACTTAATTATGTTTGGTCCTCAACAATCAAAAACAACCATAAACTTTGAGCGGTATTGGGAATGATGGCGTGCCTCAAAAAACTTTGAAAAACCTCTAGGCGTTTTTTTCGCATTTTCAATGCCAGATAATTTCATAAAAGTGCAGATAAATTAAACAGAACATAGCCAAAACTGACATTTGCAAACTCCGATAGCTGCACTAGCAAAGTTCACAGAACTCAAGGAGGGAATATCTTCATTAACATTTTTAAAATTCGACTTTTGTTTCACTCGCCTAAATTGGTCTAAAAAAAAACGACTCCAGTTAAACATGATTTGTATTTTCTTTGTTTCATTTGTCTCAAAAAATTAAAATAAAATGTTCAAAACCATACAATTACGCATAACAAACCGCTAGGAAAACATGACTCGAACCGGCAAATTTACGTTTTGCTCAAACCATACCGGGCGATCCAAAACTTATATACTCTTTGCAAAGGCAGTCATTTCTAACTAAATTGACGTATGGATCTGGTTTTTTTACAAAATGACAGCTGGGATGAGGAATTTTGATAATTCATGAACAAGTATATAATTTTTCAAAATACAAAAAACACTTTGCGCCATTTTTAGTCTTCATTCTTAAATTCTTTAGCCCGTCTAAAGTCCTGGGCTGAATATTCTGGACTGCTGGTTCTGGGGTTATGGTTGCGCTTCGATTCATTGCGAAAAACTCCGGACACTACCGAATTAATCACAATGCTGAAACTTTCTGTCGCATAGTCCCACGGGATCATATTTTATCAGCTACAGCTTCAGCCCGCAAACGCCTGACAAAATGTCAAGAAAATGGCGGGAAACATTTCCAGCATCTCTAAAAATGATTAAGTTGATAAGAATTATCAAATATCCACACCGTTTTTATAAAGTGTTTAGTTTCTACGGATATAGTCAATTCAGTTCGGAATGGCAGCCTTTTCAATTTTGTCATGGGTTTTGCAACACTTTACTCTGTATTTGACTCTAGAAGTAATTGACGAAATATTTATGCTTTGAGTGGTTTTTCAGAATTATTGAATTTTAATTAACTTGTTTTGACGAATAAATTTATGCAACTGAACAGTATCGAGTTAAAAATAAGAGACATTTAGCGTTCGTTTTGCGAAATTATGTGGGTTAACAATCACCAATTTTGTCTGTTTGGAAATTGATGTGTGCGAAAACTCCAGTTGAATTGAGGCACGGTATTTATTTCAAACTATTGTATCTTTGTTTATCCATGAGGTGTGCGGGCAAAAATAACTTCATCGTATAAAATTTTATTTAAAGTTTTCAATATTTTTGATCATATTTTTCTGAGACATTTGAAAACGCCGAGAACTCCCATTTAAAAAACTCGGTTGTGTTTTACATTCGATTTCGTTGCTAAAAACTAAAAATCACAACAATGCTCCCACATGCACTTACCTGCTAGGTCCATGCAATTTAATAATAATCTTAAAGATCAGTTTTGCGACAATCGTTTTGGGTTCTACAGCTGCATTCTCGTAACGTTTCCGAAGTTATGCACAGCCAATTTTGGTCAAATACCGTAAAGTTATCAGCGTGAACAAAAACTATTTAGTGACTGTGTGGTTGTTTTTCAATTTGCACGACTGTTTGCTCGTGCCACTTCGTTTGGAGCTGAGAGGGAGTTTGTTTATGCAAACAGAGCGAGGAAACTGGGAAGAAAACAACAAATGGGCCACTTGTTTATCCAACTCAGATCTCACCTGAAACTCTGTTTGTAAACTAATTCGGCACTGTTTATAAACGGAGCAGCAAAACACACAAAACACATGCAGCAACCAACAGGACTAGCGAACGAGGGAAAGAGAAAAATAACCATGGTATAGTATGGGAGGAAAGAAACGTCAGAAAAAGTCAGAGGCGGTTTTCGATACCCTCAACTTCTGAGGAACTGGACGCCCTTTCAAAGCTTTTTTTATGACAGCCAATTTTGGCCGACCAACCCCTAAAAGTTTCTGAGAGAACCCATTTGGTGATAATATACATATAAATTAAATATGAGGGGGCAAAAAAACGCAATTTTTTGGACAAAAAATGACAAAGTGCACTAAAAAGAATTTTTTTATTCAGTTGGATTTTCATAAGAAACTCAAAACGTTTTTTTGCTTGACTTAACCTGGAATAAAAAGAGAACCCACCAATGTTGGAACCCAAAGTTTTTGGGAAATCATTAACTGAATTAAATTTTGCGAAGACCACATAACTCAAATTTTTGTCAATTTTCACATTCCAAAAAAAAATTTGTGCCATTCTTATTTTGTTTATTGAGTCAGTTTTTATTTTATTTATTTGTGTTTACTTACCTTGACTGACCGGAGGACTGATTTTATGAGTGAAAAATAAAATTAAGCTATAAACAGGCAGAGAAACTGGGATTGGTTTATTAGCGCAACTTAACTTATTGATTTCTTTATTAATCAGGCGAGAAGACTTTTACCACTGAGCAATAATAACCATTTCTGCCCAGGACAGTAGAAAGAATTAAAGAGGGGAAGGATTTGAGAGAGGAAAAAAACAAAAATATTTACAATTTAGATGTAATATCATCGGATTATAAGTATTAGTTTGGAGTATTAGCAGAGGTTATGCAAACGTGTAAGATTTAAATAATCTGCTCCGTCCTCGCTGTAACAGGTAAAAACAGCAGATTAAGGAGATAATGCCTGAAAATGGACAAATAAACAGAAACAAACACAAATAAACAAAACAAAATAAAAAAGTGAAAGAAACAACAACAATCCAATTTATGTTAGACCGCCTAAATTTCCCGTTGTACTTCCGTTGCGACCCGTTAGCCCGTTTTATACCTATACCATACCCAACTGATTACAGGGATATAACGGGGGTTTATTCCTAAGATCGATACAAACAACAAAAACAAACTAAAAGCAAATTGACAAATTAGGCAAAAATGCGGAAAAACAACCACTTCTAGAGATTTTGCGACCATCCAACAACCTAGGCAAGGGCCAATTAACCGGCTTAAAATAACCCGGCAGCACTCATCGAAATCCGAATCAATTACAATTAGAAATGAGAAAATAACATCACAATAAGAGCCGCAAACACGCTAAAATGTTGATGAAAAAGTCAATGAAATAATAAAATTTCCCAGCTTCACAATCACGTGATCAAGATTATGGATGTAGTTCCTATTTGTAACCATACCCGATTAGTTGTCCAATTCGTTCATCATCCGAAGGGATTTCCTAGCGGTACTAGTCTTAAATAACTCTACAGACTCCAGTATGTGAAAAAGCCAAGGAGGACAGAACCAAAAAAAAAAGTTTACTGTCAGAACCAGCGGCAGATCCAAAATTCCGCGAGGTGGGGTATTCAAATACTTTTCGAAAATTCGTCGATCTTCTTTTAGGTAAATTAAATTGTCGACCGAGCATTTGCAAAACGCTTAAGGACCCCTTTTTTGTCCAAAGTTTTTGCTAAGCAAGCAATTTTTGTTTAAAACCTATAAAAAAGCGTTTTTGAGAAGTTTTCGAAAATGTTTTTTTTTTGGTTCGCGCTTTACCTCCAATTAATTGTTTGCGCCAATGGCATCTTTAAGTAATGGAGTCAAACGGGGCGTAGCGATTACCATGTGTGTCTATTAGAATTCGCTATTTTCTTTAACTGGGTGTGCTTTTAGACGAAAAACAAATTAGTCTAAAAGTTCAAATAATTTCGACTACCTCTCGATTTGTTAGAAGAAATAAAAATTTCACTTTCGCCCAAGTAAAAATTTGGCTATGTGCACGCTGTTCAAAATTTATTTTTTTAGGTCGACCAAATTGATTTTCCGAGCCTCCTAAAGCACTAAAAAGACGCTGTTTTGGTTTTGGCCAAACTTTCTGCAGGCAAAATTTTGAAAAAACAGGTCAAAAAAGACGTTTTTGGGCACTTTTTAGAAAAGTTTGATATAAAATAGCGTTTTTTTGGCGCGCGCTCCCCTCAGAAGGCGCCTTTAGAAAAACTTTTGGGTCGGTTCGGTCGGCCAAAAATGGATTTCTTAAAAAGTACCAAAGATGGGACCCTTTGGGTCGGCAGGGGGTCAAATCTCTGAAGAAAAGCTTCCGCCCCCCCCCCCCCCCCACACCGCCCCCCTCTAAATCCATGAAAACCATGAAAACAGAAGACCTATAAATAAAATAGGTCTACCTCATCATGGTAAAAGAAAGGATCTGGTTTTAAAACTTCCATCAATGTTCAATTTTTTTAAGTACACAAAACAGGGCCATAAATTTTGTGTTGAAAAATCCAAAACAATTTCACAATTATTTACTTCACCCCTTCCCCTTGGCAAAAGACTGATGACCTCAAATTGTTCTTTTGATTTGATTCATGAACTTTTATTTTTGAAAAAATGTAACTGTTAGCATTAAAAACAATGCATTTTACCTTTTTCCGCTGTGCAGTTGTTCACGTACTTTATGCTGCATTTTTTAATTACTTAAAAAATGATCATTCATTAAACATCGCTGGCACTTACTTTAATTTAATGATAGTTTTTTCTCGCTTTTCCTTTTTAATTTAGTTTGTAGACAAAGCTTTTGAACCTATTACCGTAATTTGAAAGAAATTTGACAAGACATAGACTGAAATGTCAAGTTTAAGTAAACAAAAACACTTACCAAATTAATAAAGAGGATAGTGCTCTCTATGCTACGTGCATTTCAAAGGTTCGGCTGTTTTTGTTTATTTATACAAATAATTTTTTTAATTGACACTTCGCTACAAGTATCTGGATAATAAACTGACGCAGAGCGATAAATTTTTTTAAGGGATTCTCTTTTTCTCTAAAAATTACGGATGTGAGGAAAATAAAGAATTATTGAGAAGAAAAAGGAAAGTATTATTTGTGTTTTATGAATTTATCAAAATTTTATTTGTTTTGTTAAGTGCAACTGCTGAACAGATGCTTTATTTAATAAATCTCCCAGATTGTTCGGTAAACAAAGACACCAACACAACAAACATCACAACTCGTGTTTCACCAACACAACAAACATGAAAATGAAACACAGTCAAACATTCGTTCACACCACAATCACACTTATCCATCATCCGCGTCACAAGCAAAAGTGAAAATGTCATCGCCGCTAGATGACACGACAAAATCCCGGGGGGGGGGGGGGGGGGGGGTGGGGGTTTCGGATTTTCAAAAAATTTTCGAAAATTTTAATTTTTTCGACCTTTTTTTTAAGGTCGACCAAATTGATTTTCCGAGCTTTCCCAAATCACTAAAACAAACCTGTTTTGGTCAAATTTTCTGCGCCGCTGGAAAATTTTGACCGCGCCCCCCTAAATCCGCCCCTGCTCCAACTGATCTCAAATTTATTGTCAATTTAATAATTATGTTACATATTTAAGACACAAGTAAAACTGCAGGTGACCTAAATTTTCACGAAAAACTAAAAAGTAAAGATCATAAGTTCGATTTGATTATCTAAAAAAAAACAATTGCCAAACTTAAAACAAAACCAAACTATTTGAAGTTCAGTTTCGTATGTACAGCCTGTTACAAAGAATAATATATCAGAAGCAATTTTACAGTTTTGATCAATTTGTTCGTAGTTATGTTTTTTTTTTATTTGAATTTTCTGCCCAGCGAACAGGTTTTCTAAAATAAAGCATTTTTAGTTCGAGGTTGTATTTAATTTTTTCCTTCATGTCCGTTCCTTTTTTCCATATCAAAATTTTGCGCAAATAATCGACCTTTAAAAAATATCTCAAAGTAATTGAAAGTTGTCGTAAAATTTCTGGGTCATGTAGAATGTAGTTCTTTGAACTGTAGGAGGACGTGTTTGGTGGTTATTAAAAGCCGAGCAAACAATCTTTTTATCTAACAAGCCCTCTGAAATTTAGTTTGTTGACGTAATTAGATGCGTTTTCCATAGATTCATTGCATCGGCGCCAAAGGTTTTGAAATAGATGGAAGGAGCAGAATTGTGTTTTTGGATTTTCTTGAACAGACAGTATAGTGTTCGTACAGGCATTCTGAAACCAATTAATACAATTACTCAAACTTTTTCTGCAAACAATTTTTGCGTAAATTTTGGGGAAAAAATAATTTTCGATCGTTGCGTCAAGGATGTGAAAAGATAAACTGTGTTAGGTCGAGTTGAGAAGCAACCATCGCAAGAAACTTCCTCTGAATACTGTGGTAGATACTATGTGTTTTTTTTTAGGTTTTATGTACGAATCTAGAAGAAAGCATTTTCGCCGTTGTACGCTGACTTAAAATCGCATGGAATGTCGAGACCGGTCAACTTTGATTGTGGAACCATATGCGGCCCCAGTTTTTGCCTCACGCGTTTGACAGTTTGCTGACTAGCCTGTTATGTTGGACATTCGTGGCAGTTTCTCTGTTAATAGATCTCTGAACGGGAAAATCATTTTTAAGGAAGCTCTTCGGCTACTGTTGTTCAACTTAATGATAAATTGATGGAATTTTCTGGCCTGAATTTCTGCTCTATCAGGTAAATGATTATTTTTGTGATGATTTAATTGTTGACTTCGGAAACCCGAACGCGGCTGTTGTCACGCTCATTGTGCAATGCCACGAAACTGTTCGTTCTTTTAATTCGCAATAAAATATATCAATTTTTTTGTGCTAAAATTGTTTCTTCTAATTGATAAGTAATCATTAGGTTGCGGTAATTTATCCTTACTGAACTTTTTGGAGTGTGTGATTTGGTTTAATTTGTTTTGTAACAATTTTATC